CCCGCCGCCTTTTTCTCGCGCCCCGGGCCCGGGCGCTATCGCGATAGCGGCGCGGAGCGGAAGTGGGGTGGGGGAAAGTGGGCCCGGGGTTGTTCTGACGACGGGGTCGGGGCTCAAGGGAGGCCGCGGCGTCTGCCGATGGCTCCGCGGAAGCTGACGGGCCCGGTCCAAGATGGCGGCGGCGGAGGAGGCCTCCCTCCTCTCTTCTCGTCTCTGGCGCCGACCCGCCCCCAAGCCCCGAATATAGGCCTGCCATTGCTCCCGCTGCACGTCGCTCTTGCCCTTCGGGCGCGTCCTACTGGTCATTGTCAGTGATGCGGCCGGCCCCCTCTCGCCGATTGGGCAATTTTTCCAAGGCGCGGCGTTCGATTGGCCTCTCGCGCAGGCTGCTAGGATTGGCTCAGGTTTGCTCCCCGTTCCTCCTCCTCCCGCCTCAAGGCACAACACGCCAGCGCGAGGGCCCGTACGTCAATCAAGGAGCCTGTGTTGTGCTGATTGGATACACCCGCCCCCCTCTCCTAAACCAATTGGCAGGGGGGAGGAGCTAGGCTGATCAGGGGAGGGAAGTCGTCCGTCAAGTTTAGAGCCATTTTTAATTGGTTGGGAGGGAATATTCTATCCTGAAGCCATTGGCTGGTCCTGGGAGTGGGTAGGGAAAGCGGAGGAAGGCGTGCAGAGTGGGAGTTAAAGACCGCGTACCTAATGGACTACGGACAGGTGCCTGCGAAGCTGAAGTCATCTGCCAATCAAAACATCTCCCTGGCCAGGCGGAGGAGCCGCGCCAGAGGGCCCACCCCTTCCCCCTCGTTGGCTCTGACTGCTATCACTCATGCCAAGCGTCCAATAGGGTAGCGAGTGGGCAGCGCCCGCGCTTACAGCCCGTGCGGCCGGGCGCAGCGGGCAGCCGGCCTGGGAACGGGGCGCACCCTTCTGCATCCCTAGCGCGCGGCCGGGGAGGCCCGGAGTGCTTGTCCCGCCTCCGAGGGCAACGCGGCTGCGGGCCGGTAACTACATCCTCGGGTCCTCGTCGTTGGGACGCTGCGGAAGGGACAGGCGAGCTGACGTCTGCCCTCCCGCGGTTGCCCCCTGACGGCTACTGGTCCTTAAGATCTCAGCTCCGGGATCTCATGGGAGGAGAACTCCCCGGGCATCCCGAGCGGAGCGCCCAGGTGGGCGCTGTTCCCTGCAGCTGGCGCTCGCACCTTCGTAATTACTCAACTCTCTCCTGACGGAGTTTGCATCCGCGGGAGGCCCTGAGTGACCCTTTGCTCAACGGGTGAGTGAGTGGGAGGGGTGACTGGTTGAGACTCGCTAGGCACCGGTGTTTTCCTTGACGCCCATCAGTACTGGAAGCCAGATCAGCTGTCTTCTGTAGGTGGAGGAAAGTCAGGTAAGTGCAGGTGAGAACTGATCAGAATCACCAGTGACGAGGGAGGAAAGCATGCTTGCAAAAGAGGAACGTGCTTAGGTCCACTCAGCCCCGGAGATTTGTACTTTTACACACTTCCCGGGGGAGCCCTGTGCTCGTTAGAGCTGGAGTTTTGATGTAGAGCTTTGCTATTTAAAGCCTGGGCCCTAGCCCCGGCTGGGCAGCTGTCGGTTAGAGCGTAATCATGATACACCAGCGTTCCGGGTTTGAACCCGGGTCAGGACACACACAAGAAATCAAGTAATGAATGCATAAGTAGAACAACAAGTCCATGTTTCTCTCTCTCCCCCTTCCTCTCTCTCTAAAAAGCAAATCAATCCATCAATAAAAATTAAACAGAAAACAGAGGGTGGTCCTAGATGAGGCAGTGCCTCTCCGACTTCCTAGGAATCATTTGAGGGTTGGTTAAAATGCAGATTCTGACCCAGGAGTCCCAGATTATGCTTTTCTAACAAGTTCCCAGGTGACCAGAGGGTCCACAGTTTGTACCTTGAGTAGCAAAGATCGAGAACATTGGTTCTCAAACTTGGCTACAAATAGAATCACCAGAGTGGCTTTATTTTTATTATTTTTTTAATCCTTAACCAAGGATATTTCTTCCATTGTTTTTCAGAGAAAGTGGGAGGGAGAGAGAAACATCAACGTGAGACACATCGATTGGTTGCCTCCCGCACACGCCCCAGCCAGGGATGGAGCCTGCAACTGAAGTGCGTGCCTTTGACCGGAATAGAACTTGAGACCCTTTAGTCTGAGGGCTGACACTCTAACTACTGAGTCAAGCCGGCTTGGGCCATAAGAGATTTTAAGAGATGATGTATTAAACCTGGTGATTTTCTCTTGTTAATCTCTCTCATGTCCGTTAGAGCAGCCCAAAGAACATTGTGGGGAGGGGACAGTGTCTTCCTCCCCACAGTAGCTAGGAGGCGCACTGACCTCCCAGGGAAGGGACCGGGCCTACTCCTCAGTGCCCCTGTGAAGCCCAGCTTGGGACACAGTGGACAGGGCTGTGGGCAGCACTCTCCCTAAAGTAGCCCTTGCAGGGACATGGAGGTTTTGGGCCCCTGCCTGGACTGCCCAAGCTGTTCCTCAGCTGGATGCCTTTCCCCTACCTGTCTGCAGTCCATGGCCTCCTCAGCCTTCCCCTTTCAACCCAAGTGAAGGAGGCCTTGACTGGGCCCACTTCCCAAGATAGACTGGGGGCTCCTCTCTCCTACCTAGTGAGTCAAGCTTGGCACAGCAGGTGGGGAGCTCCCAGAAGACACTGGATAGAAATAACAACAGTGCCCAGTCATGGGCCAAGGGCCAGCCCCGTGCTGAGTGCCTTCAGACATCCCGTGGAGTGTTTGGAAAGGGGAGGCCAGTTGCCCACGAGGCCATAACCACCCAGGTTGGCCTACATTGAAAGCTGGGGCTTTGAGCAGACACATCCCGTGGTTGTAAATGACTGATGTTCCCGAGGGTGTGGGGATGGAGAGGGTGCTCCTCTTCCTGGGATCCCATGTGGTGGGGGGAGTGACAGGGCCCAGAGTCCACTGGATCAGGAGCCCAGGCTTTGTTCCACAAACCCAGTAGCTCTGACTCCTCCAGTCATCCAAGTGCTTGACAAACGATCACTCCCCAGGGACAGGTCCTGACAATGTGCTTTTAATCAAACTTTTTCCAAAAGTATCTCCTTTCCCAGTTAAAAAAGATGAGGTGTGGTGAAGACAGGCTCTGCCCCCTAATGGGGCGGCGATCTCGGTGCTGGGGGGCCCTCCGAGCCTCCCTGGACAGTCTGGGCACCGGCCGATGGCGGCGTGGCTCTCCCTGCCGGAGCCTCCAGCCCCGACCCCTTCTGACCCATGTGGCCTCTGTGTCCCTGCAGTGGGTGGCCACCCAGGGCGCCCTCAGGTGGACACGATGCCATTTTTCTCGCCCTTGACCTTGAGGAACTCGGCCATGCTGGAGAAGTACTTCTGGTTGGCCTCAGCCACCTTCTTTTCGGCTGCCTGTGGGTTCACAATCTCCAGGCCCTGGGCA